CTGCTTGCAATCACGCAGCCTAGGCCTCTCCTGCAGTCTAGATCGACCAAGAATATAGAGATATTTCCTAAATGAAATTCGCAAACAGTGTTTACGAAAAATCAATTGAATTAGTTTGCCTTTGGCCAGCTCTTTACAATATTATTGCCAATAAGCTGAGTATAAAGACGTCCACGAAAGCCATTGCCGAAAAAATAGCAACAGGTTAGTTTAGACGATACTTCCACACTAGGCTACGTGGCGTATTATAATAGGAAATAATAATAACAATAATACTATTAATAAAATAATAATAATAATAATAATAATAATAATAATAATAATAATAATAATAAAAATAATAATAAAACATAATGATAATAATAGTAATAAACTCTTTTGCTTAAGGGGGCGGTCGGGTGGGACTTAAGCTGGAAATTGGGTCAAAATATTGTTTTTGAGGTTTTTGCGCAGGTGAATACCTGAATGTGTCTAGATATCAGATCCAGTATATTTTTTGCTGAGATAAACATGCTGTACGTGAAATTTGTTTCATATTGCTACTAATAGTATCACAGTACGTCATTTATTACTCTAATGGCCATATTTTTCTTTGAACTGTATTTTTCATGCCACGAAAATCCTACAATCTCGCTTACTTATAGCCCTAGAGACTGGAAAATTGGCACAGTGATAGCTGATTCATATTTCTAGGTAATGAGTTATTTGTGTCTTTCTTTGTATTTGACAGCTTTAAGTCGTATTTAGAATTAGCCCAGAAACATTCTCTACCATTTTGGCACTATCCATTGTTTTGTTTCTGTTTTATGGTACAGACTTTCAAGAGGAGAGTGTAGAAGCTGTCTCCAGCTGTCTTGGGCTGATCGAGATATCCTGGCCTGACTTGATGGGAAATTTCGGATGTGTTAATTTTAGAAATGACGAAATCACTGCTTGCATTAAGCGGTAGAAAATGCGGGGATATATTTTACTGCTCACTGCTAGCAGAGCACTTAGCACTACTTAATACGGCGCGGCTACTGCTTTTGTTTGGGGCAAACATACTTAGATTTAACACGGCTCAGCTACTGCGCAGCCTCTGCTCAGGTCAACTGCTTTTGGTGTGTACGGGGTGTCTGTCTGTCTGTCTGTCTGTCTGTCTGTCTGTCTGTCTGTCTGTATGTATGTATGTATGTATGTATGCATGCATGTATGTATGTATGTATGTATGTATGTATGTATGTATGTATGTATGTATGTATGTATACATGTGTGCACGCGCACGCATGTGTGTGCGTGTGTGTGTGTATGTTTGTTTGTGTGTGTGTGTGTGTGTGTGCACATGTGTGCGTGTGTGTATGTGTGTGTGTGTGTTTGTACATGTGTGTGTGTGTGTGTGTGTGCACTTGTATATATATATATATATAGTGTTATTTGTCGAGAAAAAATAATTAATAGTGTAGATCTTACATAAGGTTGGACACCTTTAATCAAGCACAGCGACGTGGGGCTCTCACGTTTGCACTTTGGATTGCACTCTTTGTGTTAGGCCTCTTTCTCACCGTGATCTATTTTGGGTGATATGGCGTAATAAGTTTCTGAGCGCCTCGTCGTTGGTTGAGGTTCTAGATCTATATAGCTAACGTAAAACAATCCCGTCCAGTCCAGTTGTGTAGGGTGAGTAAATGCCACAGGCTCCACACTCCAAGCACCACCTTGACACTGTAACACAGCGTTTGGTTGGACGGACAGTAGGCCAACAAGCAGCATACCAACAGTAGGACAGCCCGTTGGGAACATTACAAGGTGGGTCTAGATCTAGATTCTAGAGAGTAAAAAATTTTAGTAGAACTAAATCTACTACTAGATTCTAGAATCTACGCCTGCTTGTGCGTTTGTATCTATACGCCTTTGCTTTATTATTGGAGTCAGAAAAGTAGAAAAGATAGATTGTATTATATTTTATAGATACACGGATATAATCTTACGAGTAACAGAACTGCTTCAGGCACATATTCTGCTGCTTAACTCTTTGTAGGTCTGGCCTTTGTTTTCTCTTTTACTTTCATTGTCCGATTTTTCTTTCTCTCTGTCTTGTGGTTTGCCTGCTACATTGTCTCTTCCCCCCCCCCCCCAGTCCTCCTCCTCAGCCCTGCCTGTCTGCTTGTCTGTCTGTCAGTCTGTCTGTCTATTTGTCTGTTTGTTTGTCTGTCTGTCTGTATGTCTGCCTGTCTGTCTGCCTATCAAGTCTGTCTGCCGATTTGCCTGTCTCTCTGTCTCTCTATCGTTCTCCCCTCATCTCTCTCTGTCTGTCTCTCTCTTTCTCTCTCTGTATCTGTCTCTGTCTCTGTCTCTGTCTCTGTCTCTCTGTCTCTCTGTCTCTCTGTCTCTCTCTCTCTCTCTCTCTCTCTCTCTCTGTCTCTCTCTCTCTCTCTCTCTCTCTCTCTCTCTCTCTCTCCTGTGTGTCCCCCCTCTTTGGTGTGTAGTGGGTCAATTGTAACTCCTCCTCCTCCTCCTCCTC